TTTTAAATTAATCAATATTGTACAAAATAGTTATGAGTACAATATATATATATATATATATATATATAAATACATAATATATTACATATATTGTTAACTTGATGTACTCTATAGACTTGACTGATTTTTAAATTGATAAGATATACGTGTATACTATAGGAAATATTAATAATTTTATGGAGTTCGAGAAGTGCTAATTAAAACAAATGCGTTATTTTGCACTTAGCTTAATGGAATGTTTTTTTTTTTGAAAATATACAATTGATAATAAAAAATACTTGTGATAATATATAAAAATTTTATGGTAAACATATTAAAAAATTTTTAGAAAAATTAAGTAAGATCCTAAAAAATAAAGTTTAGTTAGCAACCTGATTTTATAGCTTGATGTTATAGCTTATACGTAAATGTTACTTAGTAATTTAATCATATTAAGTTTTTTGAATAATTTTGGGTAATGATTCCGATTTCTTAAACCCAGTGAGATAGCCTATTGTGGTTAACTTCAATACAGCAAACAGTTTTTTCGACTATATTGTATGTCGAAATAAATTTCATAAATTCAAATCGGTTGCAAGGCCAGCAAAGGAATATCATAGCTGGTTGCACTACAAGTCTCGGTGCTGAGAATGTGTTGAGAATGAATTTTTAGTCCCTATTCATGTATGATTTACAGAGTTTTATCACAATTGCGCATGAGAATGGTATGGGCCATTTGTATCTTTATAAGATTTTTTCTCCAGATTTGTTACTAAACGAAAAAAAAATCGGAGACAAGAATAATTTAGAACAAAATTTTTATGAATTTATCGATCGTTAGGATCATATCTACAAAATGAGGGAGTCTTAAAGTCTCTAAATTGAAACTTTTCCTTAAACAGTAAAATGGAAAACTTTTAAAATTTTGAGTTGCTGAAAAATTGTTATTTATATAACTAGTTGTCAGAGTATATTTATAACTATTAATTTTTAGCAATACTTTCTTTAAAATAAGTCACATTAGTACATTATCTTAGTGCTAGACTACATTTATGTTTTAGAAAATTGCATTAACTATAAAAATAAGCAAAAAAAGTTGGAGACGAAGACAGATTTTTTTAAAGTCATTATAATTGATACCAAACTGTCAACTCAACGTATACAGAGTATATAGGCAATACATTATTATTTACTATTTAAATTAACAATACTGGTTTTCATCTCATATTACAGAGTACATGTACAGTTCCCCTAACAATATTTCCTTTAATTTTATTGGTAAATTTCTATATCCTTTATTTCAATTATTAAATTCAATTTTACAAGATTTTTTTTTACTCTTTTTAACAAATATTTTCTCATTATTTTTTTACCTTATCGTTTGTAAACCAATATGTTTATTATGGCAATTTGTAAATACACCTGCAAATCTCAAATAAAATGTTTATATAGTTCGACATAGTTCGATATTTTTCGTTGTATTTTATTTCTAGTAAAACATTATGCATCCACGTTGATAGCGCAAAGATTGGAATTCTAACTGATTGAAGTACACTTTTATTTCAATGATTTTTTTTTGTTTGCAAACTACAATTCAATTGGTAGAATGCTTACTTTATATATATTGTATATTCTATGTAAAACGTTTATCTTTAAATTTATGTTTTGGGGCTCTACATGCAATTTGTTTCACGATTAATAACACACGAATAGAATTATATCAGATCTCATTTCCTTGCTCCTTCGTTTTATAAATAGTTTTATAAATAATTGAAACACATACCTATGTCTTACAATAAAATATTCATTGATTTTTTTATATTGATTGCATTTCTTGTAATTACATTTTTAATTGTAAGTATAAATATTGTTTTATTTCTGAGAATATGATTACCTTTTTTTTTTGAATTTCATTTTAAGTCTTTTATCTGTTTGGTACAAAACTTGTATTTTTTTTTATAAAAAGTTTTTATTATGACATGGAAAAGTTTTTTATGACTTTACATTAGCATGGTTTATGGTATTAATGCATTTTAACACCTACTAAATATCTAAGTTTATACCTATGGCATTAAACTCATAAAATTCGCTAATTAAAATAATAACATCATAACATTTGCTCAATAAAAAATTTTTAATATTAGAGCTATTATTATAATTAGTTCATATTAAAAATTTTAGTTAAACAAAAAATTAAAAAATGCTATTACAATAAACTCTTCCTTTAGTACTTTTTATAACTCCATTGTGTATTTGTTTCTCAATAAATATCTTCAATAAACTTATAGCGAAACTAAAAATAATCATTTTTCATCCATAACTTAATGTGTACTTTACCATTTTATTAGAGCACTTAAAGTTAAGTTGAAGAAAGCACCTGAGCCGCATATCAACGCCAAGTACCATATTTTGCGTTAAATTTTTTATAAGGATTTCTTTGTTTAAGTTTGCCGCATAAGAAATACTTTTAAATTGCATTAAATTTTAAAATTTTCTGGCTGATATTGTGGTCAGACACTGCAGCAACATTGTTCTTGTTGGTTCTTTTGTGTCGTCAGTGTAGTCAGTGTATTTGAAAAGGCGATTGTCGTTGTTATTACTATGAAATTTTAAACATGGAAACATAAGTCAAGAGCCAATGCACTAATGTCAGTGCAACATTTTTAATGTACTGTGGAATTCTT